GTTATATGCTAAAATATCGGGCTTTTCAGACCAACGCCAAGCAAACATCCCACTTTTTACCATGTGAGATATGATGATTTCTGTCTTTTACTTTCAACACTTTTCCAGTATACATTTTCATATTGTACCTAACAAGCACAAAATCACCCTCCACGACAGCCACGACATTTTCTGCATCCCCATCCGACATTTCTATACAATCTTCTGAATCATCTTCACTATACTTTCGTTCTCACTTTTAGTGTTCTTCGATTTTATATTTTTTTTTGATATTTATTTGCAGTTTTTCTCTTTCGTTTTGGATAGAGTTCACTTTTTGAGGTATTTTCCTCTTCTAGTTTGTTTTTCTGTAAGTAGTCTGATGTTGTTATAATTTTTGCCCTATTGCAGATATTTCTTCTCTTTTGTGGTGTCGGAGATTCCGATTTCTTTTTTTCATTTTTTAGTAGATCAACCACTTATATATACCTGTTGCTTGAAACCAATTTATAATGTTCTGTTTAAGCATTTCCAAAAATTTCTTGTCAAGAAGATGCGTAAATTCAGTTTTAGGAATTTTTCTTCTTGGGTTGAGCCTTTGCCATTTTCAAAGATTTTTATCCCATGTCGCTTTCATGCTCTTAATACACTAACATCGAGTTTCTGAAGCAGATGGGTTGTATGTGGTGGTAACTTTAAAATACATAGACGTAGACGTTTATTTACAGATGCGCACAATGAACACCTGCTTACCAAGCACAGGACCGTCTCCTGATATGTTTCAAAAATAAATTTGTTATGAAACAGATTAATATTATAGTAATAACAACAATGATGATGATATAATTATAATATCCTCCCTATAATTCACCGTCTTACAAGTTAATCCTGCAATCTCTAAAAAACAGCTTGTGTCGAAGAGAAACTACTTACAAATGATAATAATGATGAGTATAATGATAGTGTCACCTTTCATGTCTCGCATTTATTAAACGATTACTACAAAATGTGACATCACCATTTATTATTCGAAAATTTAGATTTAATTTCAATGAACTACCGAAATAATCCCGTTCAAAACAAAGCTTTTAAACGATTCTAAGGTAGAATTAGTGCTCCATTTATCCTATTGTTCAGACTTTTGGCAACATGCGATGTAACTTATTTACGGATGAAAAAGAAAAACTTCGAACATGGAAGTTTCCCAATACCTAAACTGTAATAGAAGTCCTCGAAAACGTTTTATTAAAGTAATCGAGAAACGGAATCGTATAGTGTTCAATACTTTATTCAACAAGTAAATGGAGTGTAAAGCTAGTGTAAATGTCAAAAGTAAGAAAGAACATTTTATAGTTAATCTGTACGTTTTGATAAATCAATATTTATACAAAACTTATTAGGTACTACTACAAAAGATAATGGTAAGAGAATAAAAAAAAATGACGAAGTATCTAAAACTTTTAATACAAAGTTAATAGTTACGACTACTGACAATCTGTAAATTTTAAGTTAAAGTAAGATAAAGAGAAATCTAAAGATAAGTGTATTGTATCTAATACTTACCTGAGCGTCTGTAGTTTAAACAGTTTTTACACATTGTTCAGGGCTCTCTTGTTTTTATGGTATACTCTAATAGCATGTTTGTAATAATTTGTTATCAAACAGCTCTATTCCATGGAGCCTAGAGGTAATGTTGGCTCTACAATGACAATTTTTATGGCAATTAACTAATCTATAGAGGTATAATAGTTACTTTCATTATTAGTCATTTATCCAGAATTCTTAAAAATAAAAATATTCAATATACAATAGGCCTGTCTCTGTGTGACAACACTGGCCAATTACCTATTTTGTGACACTAATTATTCTAGAAATGCTGCTTTGCTTAACACCCACTCATGTTTATTAAATTATTAAATGTTTATTACATTAATAAAAGTTTTAATAAAACTATAATAAATTATTAAATATTTAGTAAAGTAAATGTTTATTAAATTAAATATTTATTAAATTAATTGTTTATTAAATTAAATGTTTATCAATTTAAATGTTTATTAAAAAAAATCAAATGCTTATTAAAGTAAATGTGTATTAAATTAAATGTTTAAATTGTTTACAAAATTAAATTGTTATTAAATTAAATGTTGAATAAATTAAATATTTGTTAGATTAAGTGTTTATTAAGTTAAATGTTTATTACAATAAATATTTATTAACGTATTTGTTTATTAAATTAAATTATTATGAAATTAAATGTTTAATGGATTAAATGAATAAATTAAATATTTCTTAACTTAATTATTTAATAAATGAAATATTTATTAAATGAAATGTTCATTAAAATAAATGTTCAATGGATTAAACCGTTACGAATTTAAATGTTTATGATATTATGTGTTTATTTATTACAATTTTGCTTATTTACTTAAATGTTTATCAATTTAAATGTTTATTAGATTAAATTTAAATGATTAAAAATTTAAATGTTCATTAAATAAATATTTATTGAGTTAAATATTTATTAAATAAATACTTATTAACTTAATTGTTTAATAAATTAAATTATGATTAAATTTAATTATGATTAAATTAAATTATGATTAAATTAAATGTTTATTAAATGAAATTAAAATAAAATAGATTTTCATTCGATTAAATGGTTATGAGTTCAAATATTTATAAAATTATGTATTTATTTATTTATTACATTTTTGCTTATTTATTGAAGTATTTATCAATTAAAATGATTAAAAATTTAAATGTTTATTGAATTAAATATTTATTAAATTAAATATATATCAAATTAAATACTTATTAACTTAATTGTTTAAAAAATTAAATTATGATTAAATTAAATATTTATTATATTAAATGTTTATTATATAAAATGTTAATTAAATGAAAAGTTTATTAAATTAAATATTTATTATATGAAATATTTATTAAATTTATTATTTTTTAAATTGAATGACTATAAAATAAATGTTTAGTAAATTAAATGTTTTATGAATGAAATATTTTATACATTATACAAATTAATTGTTTATTAATTCAATAGATCAGACGAGTAAGATTTAAAAATATTTAATAAATTATGTGTTTATTAAATTAAATTTTTGTTTATTAATTACATTTTTGTTTATTTAATTAAATGTATAACAATTTAAATATTTATTAGATTAAATATAAATGCTTATTAATTTAAATCTTTATTTAATTAAGAGTTTTTAAATTAAATGTTTATTAAATTAAATGTTTATTAAATAAAATTTTTTTAAAATAAAATCTTTATTAAATTAAATGTTTATTAAATTAAATGTTCAATGAATTAAACGATTATAAATTTAAATATTAAATAAATTATACGTTTATTAAGCTAAATGATTGTTTATTATTTATATTTTAGCTTATTTAATTAAATGTTTATTAAATTAAATGTCTATTCAATTAAATGTTTATTAAATGAAATGTTCAATGGATGAGACGAATATGAATTAAAAATATTTATTAAATTATGTGTTTATTAAATTAAATTTTGTTTATTAATTACATTTTTGCTTATTTACTTAAATGTTTAACAATTTAAATGTTTATTAGATTAATGTTAAATGCTTATTAATTTAAATCCTTATTCAATTAATTGTTTAATAAATTAAATATTCATTTGATTAAACGATTATAAATTTGTATGTTTATTAAGTTAAATGTTTGTTTATTATTTACATTTTTGCTTATTTAATTCAATGTTCATTAAATGTTTATTAAATTAAATGTATATTAAATCAAATGTTTAATGAATCAGACGAATATGAATTAAAAATGTTTAATATGTGTTTTATAAATTAAATTTTTGTTTATTAAATACATTTTTGCCTATTTTATTAAATGTTTATTACATTAAATGTTATGCTTTTTAGATTTAATATTTATTAAATTAAATGTATATTAAATTAAATTAAATGTTTATTAAATGAAATGATTACTAAATTAGAAGTTCAATGGATTTAGTGAATATTAATTAAAATATGTATTAATTAAATACTTGTTTATTTAATGAAATATATTTTTAAATTAAATGTTTATTAAACTAATGCTTAATTAAGAAAATCCTACGATTTGGTCATATCGAAATTTATTTCTAAAATTATTTGTGCAATATTTTTTATTTTATAATAATTTACGATTAAAAGTATGCACATAATTATGATTTATCTATAATTTACTTCATTGAGAAACATTTGTCTAAATATTTAATTTCAACAAATTTTATGTTTTTAAGTTAAATTACTTCTACGCTTTCAACTAAAAATTGATTTTGTTAACACTGCTGTACTTTAGCAGATACTTTACCGTAAACACCGAATAGCAATCAAGCCCCTTTGAAAAAGTTAAACTTCATGGCGAAAATTGCAATGGCTTTGTTCGCAGAGAAAATCCCTGACAAGTTTCTGACCGATTCAATTGACAACATATTCGCTGACGTCATTCGTATTTGGGCTTCGAAATCTATTCAGAATAATTGAGTAATTTCTGCTAGTTGAGAGTTGGTACATAGCTAGTCATTCATAAAACGAAGGATATGTAATTTTGAGTGTTAAATAGAAAGTTGAGTAGTGTTTTATTCAGATTCTGATTATTATTCTTTTATTATATTTTTCCCTCAGGTTTAATTTTTTTAAAATATTTTTATTAGATACATATTTGATTAAAATAAACTTGTTTCTTCGAGATATAGGAAATCTATTTGGAAAATATCTCGATTTGTACTGTTGGTACTGTTGTAGTAGAAAAAGTTAATTTTTCATTAATAGTAGAAATGTCTCTATCCTCTTTTAGAAACCTCTTCTTTTCAGTTTATGGAAAAACTATTTTTCTGTTTCATTTACGTTTTCATATTAAATTAAATTAAATTAAAATAGTTTATTTTAGGTTAATAACTAACAACCAATGTTTTTTCTAAAACTGAATAATTTGGCGTTTGTTTTTGTTACATATATCAATTTATATATTTTTTTGTTTCAGATGTCTGTGATAATGACCAACTTTTTTATCATGTATCATCAAAGTCGAAGTTGCTGATTGGCTCATTCAAATCTGAATTGTGTTCACCTGTTCACTTTCTTAGGATGTATCAAAACAAAACTATGGTGTCTTGGAATTGTCCTCTGGTAAGTGTAATCACAAAACATAATTTTAAACTGGTAGTGAACTTTAACTTTCTCTTTTTTGAGCACTCTGCGGATGTGCTCTTCCATTACTGGATCGAAATAAGCAAGTAATTAAATAATTTGTAATAAAATACCATTAGGTACCGAAATCGTAAACTTTGTCACATGATCTCGGAGGGTTAAACAATTTTGAACAAGAATTTTTATTGTTGAAACAATTCGTAGAAGCCCCTCTGCAGTAATGATACTTTGTGAGTGTCGATCAATCGTTTTAGAGCACAACATTCTTTGGATTAATTCAATTTTTAACGTTGGATATTGTTTTTAGAGGTTTCCTGTTGTCTTTGCGAGGTTCTTTCAATGTTTAAAATCTTTAGTAGAAATATAACTTAAAATAGAAGTAAAAAGTTTGCAGGCGAAAGCAATAAACACAGTTTTTTTTTGTAAATTAATAGAATAATCAGAAATTTTCACAATTTTCCAGGTTTCTTAAATAATGAACTGCGCTAAATCCTCGACTGTTATGATTATACGGAAAACTGTATTCCTTTAAAGGTGCTCCTTATTTTACAATCCAGGAACCTGAATCTGAATTTATTATTGTAGAAAATGTCTCTTCTTTGAATATTTAGGTTCAGTAAACATCTCTGGCGTAGGTTCTTTGGATGTTCCTGTAGTAGGCTCAACTCGAGCAATACCGGAAGCTTGATTGGTAATGTCATCATAATTAAGGGAAGGGGCCTGGCTTATTCGCCCCTAGCGCTGGCCCTGCTAATACACTACTAGTATAGACTTACTATCTCTTACTACATTCTTAACTACACATAAAGCATAATACACATTAAACTAAAAATTATATCTAAGAAAAATCTGGAAACTGAAAATAACGGATATTTTAAATACCTGCTCTAATTTGCTTCCATATTGTGAAATCCATTGTTCCTTATACAAACATGATTCCTTAACAAATTACCTTTTAGTTCACTGAAAATTCATATTCCTTGATGTATGCTTTACCTTCGTGAAAACTGATTATCTGTCAACCGTGAAACTATTCTTGTTAATATAGAGCAGTGTTTACTTTTCACCAAAACTATTTCAACCGACCTTAAATCCCCCGATTCTCAAACTTTCTGCATAAATTGACTACCAACATGATGTATAGATAAAGCGATAGCTGTAAGAAAAGTTTGTTTTAATTCCCCTACAGCATTATAATTTTAATAGGATAACTTAAAATGAATGTAACTTACTACAATTTGCAGCTACAAGTGGCAACAGAAGATAATGTCAACTTATTTTATTTTCATTAATAACTTAGTATTTAGGGGTAGCAAGGCTAAGTAGTTAGAGCCTGGATCTTTGGATGAGTGGTACGAATACTATCAGAGACTATTTTTTTTTAAATCAAGTCATAGATGTCCCGGAAACAATTGAAAGAGGATCATCAGGATATCAAATTGGACTAACATACCAAATTTTTTAGTTTTATTCTAACTTTAGATAGGTAAATCCACTCTTTATTTCCAATTTAGTCTTTTTTAATAAGAATAGTTGAGAATTTGATTGTTTGCTTACTGATAATATATGCTCTGACCACGTTAAGTCTTTAGTAATGATGACGCCGAGATCATTTTGGGACGATACTGTCTTTAAGGCATTATGAATATCCGGTATCCGGATACTTACAAAGGACCACGCACTTTTCTTATGCAAACGGGAGTACCGTCAAAATGTCTGAATTTTTGATATGTTAAATAACTTGATGTCCCCATCAAAAGTGTTCATGGGCCCAAGTATCCTATGACTAGATTTTGAGATACAGGGTGTTGAAGTTAGAAATCCCTAATTCTTTAAAATGGACACCATAAATCACCCTTAAATATATTTGGAAGTTATTTGATCATTCTGTATAGTCAAAATACATAATTAACTACTATAATTCAAATATTGTCCCTTACAGGGTGATTAATGATTCGGCAAATCTTTTTTGGTCAAAGTAGGTATTCCCACCGAACAAAAATAGCTAAAATACCGGAAAAAAAAATATCACCGTCAAAGTTTCTCATTATTTGATATCGTATAGTACTCGATGTACTCGTTCAAAATTTTTATTGGTAAAATTAGATCCTATGACTAGTTTTCCAAATATAACTTAATATATACCAAATATATGAATTTTGCCTTTTAACTTTGGAGTTGTTTATCAAAACAATCTTATTAGTTCACATACAGAGTCATACATTATTAGGAACTCATCTGACAATCCATGTCTTAGTTTAACAAGGAAAGCAAGTAAATCTTTTTGATCAATGTTTCTTAAGTTACCATATTGTTTTATTGATTCACAAAATTCATATAATACTTGGAAATTCTGTTTAGAAATTGAAGTTAAATATTCAAACTCTTCTAAACTAAAAGAATTTTTGTCTTCCCAATTTTTAAATTATTATTAGCAGTAACAGCCGCTCTTAAATTAACGCGGAAGAATGGTCTATAAACAAAACGCAAACTAGCATATAAATTAATCATTAGTAAACTTGAAGATTTTGATCAGTTGTACTCAACCTTTTTTTCTTTCGAGCCACATAAATCTGTTTGTTATGTTACACGGGCCACAATATTTTTGGGTGATAACTAAAGTTGCCACCTTTTTGAAACGCAAATAAAGGACAATGGGTGAAGATAGGTATCCGCTTTAAATATTTTCTAAAAAAAAAGGTCCTCATGTTGTTTTAATACCATTTCAGTTACTAATAATCGTGTTTGGGGCTGCACAAAAAAGCTTGGAGAGCCGCACACAACAGCTTGGAAAGCCGCATGAGGCCCGCGGCGCGGGCTGCAGGTTAAGTATGGCTGATTTAGATGAATGTCACAAAAATCTTCAGATATTCGGGTACATACATATTTGAAACTAAAAAAATATTTGCTCTGCATACTGCCGATAGTTTTCTTACATTTACTTGTGCGTTACAAATTATACAACCACGAACTGAGTGGGGTGTTAAAACATTTGGATCATTTTCAATATTTCTAAGTTCCTGTGTAATTGCGTGATAACATTTTAAACATAATCTTACTTCTTGTAGATTATCAATTGCAGGATGTCCGGCAGCTTGTCTTCTTAAATTAGCAACGTTAAGCACATCTATATTATTGTCTTTGTTTGAACGAATAGTGAGTAGAAGTTGAAAGTGTCTATTGCAAACATAACAGCTTATCCTGTTTGCAAACGCCATACTTGCAACAATATTTATTTAAAACACTAATACAGAACGGTCTAATGCTCACTTAAAGTAATAAAAACGTCATTTATTATAAAAGTCAGCAATAGATGGATGTTCAATTATTCTGAAAATATTTAATCATAAATATATAAATCAAGTGTAAGCATGTATATATATCCTATAAGGTTTTTGGCATATTCACCTCGTTTTAGAATGTACTAATAAAATCTATCAATCGTCTAAAACTCATAGGTTACAAACTATACAGGGTAATCAATTTTTGTGAAAATCTTCGGAAAAATTATATATTATCACAGTAAATATAAAATAGCAAAACTTCAGGCATTCAGGCAGTTTTAAGCTTAATATTTTATTATTAGGAATATACAGGGTGATTCTTAACGCGGTACCAGACCAAAACCGATTTAAAATGCCTTGGTTGTATCGATTACAAAAAGCTATAACACTTTACGTCTAAAGTGAAAAATTACAAAGTTACAGGATGTTAAAGAATAACTATATTTCCAAGTTTAAATATTTATGGCGTTATAATCATTAAATAATTAACAAAACGACTTGCATGCCTTTGCATAATGACAATATAAAAATAGGCCGGTGATTCGAAAATTATGAATATTTCATTACCCTGTATTTATATCATATTGTTTTGAGAAGCCATTGAAAAATCGAGAGAGGAACAGGTAAGCTGTAAACTATAAAAATATCAACAACTGTTTCGTGAAAATTAGAATAATATAGATGCTCGACTTATTTTAAATATTTGAATGATCAATAACATGAAAATGCTATTTCTTATATGAATGTGTACCAATAGGTAGATATGACATTTATACTTCATTGTGTGCCTAACTATTACTCAATGGATTTCATAGAAGAAAACTCGCAATGAATAAGAAGACAGTTAAGAAGTTGATAATTTCTCAGATTTTTTGCTCATTGACTACTTTATTCTGAGGATCCATTAAATGTTTTTAATTTTTAGTTATTAAAAAACTATGTCAGTTTTACAAAGTTTGTTATTACCTATTTAAAATATTAATGTATGTATATTTATAATCTTTTTTCAATGAATGACTCACAAGCAATTTATTTTCTAATATTTGGCAATAATTTTATATATTGTTAATTTTTTTACCTTGCAAGTTTAACTGTAACCATCTTTTAGGAGATGCGACTTAAAACAAAATGTATTGGGGGCTTTACCTCATTGATGGCGTGGAATGGAGCTTATAATCCTATTTAAATACACAATACAAATAGGCACTTACGACAATACTCGAGCCAAATAAACCTGTAATCCGATCATAATTTTTCTACATCCTACTTAGACCTACCGTATAATCAACTTCTTTGTACCTGAATAAAGTATGACCCTGTATGTGGACTTATAATTATTTTCTATTCTTTGGCAACAATTTCAACATTTTGTTAACTTTTTTACCTTACATATTCAACCGCAATCACCCTGTAACTAGGAAATAATTTTGGCTGCCCTCAAATAGTACAAGGGGTATATTTCTAATCCATCACAGTGTGTCAAATTTTCTAATATACAGTATATCTCTGAAACATAATATCTACTTATGTCAGTATATTTTTTTGTTAAAATTCATATATTTGGTACATATTAGGTTATAATTTGAAAACTAGTCATAGGATGTAATTTTACCAATAAGAATTTTGAACGAGTACATCGAGTACTATACGATATTAAATATTGAAAAACATTGACTGTAATATATTTTTTTTTCGGTATTTCAGCTATTTTTGTTCGGTGGAAATACCTACTTTGACCAAAAAAGATTTGCCGAATCATTAATCACCCTGTAAGGTACAATATTTTAATTGTAGTAGTTAAGTATGTATTTTGTCTACACAGAATGAGCAAAAAACTTCCAAAAATATTTAAAGGTGATTTATGGTGTCCATTTTAAAGAACTAGGGATTTCTAACTTCAACACCCTGTATCTCAAAATCTAGTCATAGAATACGATTAGGTCCATGGACACTTTTGATAGGGACATCAAGTTATTTAACATATTAAAAATTCAGACATTTTGACGGTACTCCCGTTTGCATAAGAAAAGTGCGTGGTCCTTTGGTCACGGATACCGGATACAAAATTTGAAAAGTATGCGGATACAGCTTTCGGATACACATAAAGTATCCGGATTCTGTATCCGGATACTGTATCCAGACATATCCAGATACTACCCAACTCTGCATGACTGACATTCTGCTTAACAAACTTTTGTATTATCTCCCTCTTTAATTGTACTGTTTGAATCATATCTATGAGATTGACAGCAGTGTGACCAACTTAATGGTTTTAAGTCTGCCGAATATAGTGCTTCATTTGCTGTTCCACAAGGATCGAATCTGTGGCCGCTGCTTTTCATTATATTTATTAACAATATTGCAGATGATATAATTGTATACTTTCTTTTGTATGCCGACGATCTAAAGCTACACATTGCGGTAACATCTCCATAATCCCCACAATTCGCAATTGCGAGACATTTTTATCTGTTTAAATAGTCAAGCTTCATTTTTATGTATTATTATACTAAAGCGAAATGAAATGGAACATTCAAATTTTCAGATTTCCAACACCAACATCGGTAGTGAAACGAGACTCAGTCCTCCAATTTCTGCAATAAGCCGTGGATTTGCCAAAGTTGTAGGCGAGATGAAATGGAAATCCGTTGCAATTATTTCAAGTGGTAAGTCTGACGTAAAAATTAGTTTGGTCTGTATGTAGAATTCACTAAAACGACCAGTTTCGTGTTGCTATTTGCTATGGTCTAGGTGTGGGTTATCCATAAGAAAAATTGATGTATTCTGACTGGGATAACATTAAAATTTAAAAATATTTTTGTGTTTTGCCAAATAAATTGTGAATAATATGTAAAAAGGTTCTTGGTTTAATTGGTCAATAGTTTTTATTTTTTATAATTTAAGCACTATACAGGGTGAGTCATAAGTAGAGGGCGGAATATATGCATCAAAATATAACAAAATATGCGCATATATATGCATCGTTTTTACCAAAAATATGCAGTTATTTTGTCCAATTATGCCTAAATATGCAAATGCATATTTGTTAAAAATACTTAAAAAAAAGTAGGGGGTGGGTAGCTCAGTGGTTAGTGCCTTGGCCTGTGGACTTAGGGGTCCCGGGTTCAAATTCCAGCCGGGACGCGATTTTTTAAATTAATTAATTTATTTAAAAATTAATTCTGATGCCTAGCGAATATTTCCACTTGACCATTCACTGTTGGGTTCTAATTAACATTCCTGTTCCTAATTTGGTACGCTATCAAAGCCATTACACGAAAAAAACAAAAAAAAAAAACAAAAGAAAATATGTAATATAAAAATTTATTTAAAACAAACGAAACACAAAAACTAGTAGAAGTAATGTATAGAATAGTATAAAAATATTAAATAGTAATATTATAATTAAATATTTTTCGAAAATTTCTTTTAAAAATTTTTGTCTTCTGTCTGTAAAAATATGTTTTGATATAGAAAAGGTCCTTTCAACATCTACCTAAGTAATAGGACAATACCGTAATTTTGGAAGTAATGTACAGGGCCAACGTAAAACTTCTTTGGAAAATTTTCCCTCAAAAATGTTTTTCACTTCCCTTATTTCATTGAACCCTTCATTCTTTAATAAAGTTGTATTTAATTTTTTTCTAATCTTAAGGCCTATGTCACCAGGAACATTGTTACATTTATCGGAAACTGTTGCAATAAAATTTGTTGATTCGATTAAACTTAAATTTTTCTTTTCCAATGAAGTTATTCCATCAGGTAAAAAACTAAAATTAACCTTTATAAACACAAGTTGCTTAGGCACAAGGGGATTTTTTAACAATTTTTTACTTTGCACTACACATTGTGAATTGTCTTCTATATCCAAAATTAAATCCTTAATTGCTTCAAAATTTTCTGCATAGAATATAGCTGCTTTAATCCATGTCCCCCATCGCGTAATTACGGGTTCCGGGGGCAAACACACCCCTACCATTCTCTCTTTATACAACTGCACTCTTAAAGGGGCTTTTAAAAATATTTTTTTCACATTCGAAATTAGCTTGTTAACCAAGGGATATTCTGTTCTCATAGTTTCTGCAACTAAGTTTATTCCATGCAAAAGACAAGTAACGTGGACCATATTTGGATAAAATATTTTTAAGTTTTGCCCTACTTTTATCATATATGGTGCTGCGTCAGACAAAAACACTAAGAACTTCTCTGAGGGAATTTGATTTGGTAAAAAAAAATCTGCTAGAGATTGTTGAATAAATCGGGTAACAGTTGTATTGTTAGTTTTTTCTAACTGTTTTGATGCAATTAAATATGATGTACCTGGTTTATTTTCTTTTAGGGCTTCAATCATAAGATGTACCATATATCTTCCACAAGCATCTGTGCTTTCATCAACAATGATGTAAAAATTGCTATCATCCAGTAAAACTTTAATTTCTTCTATTACATTTATATATATATAGCATGTACATTTTTTTTTCTGAGTGTAGATTCGTCAGGAATGGTTCGATTATTTTTGTAAAAATTCTCTTAGATGTAGGTTTTGTAACTTCTTTAATGGAATATTTGCCGCAACAAGAGCTTTGCACAAGTCCTGATTAAATACCTCCTTGTCACTTTTTGTTTTGTCGGCGTTTTGAAATGACCTCACAACGCATTGTTGTACCGGTTGTGATTTCATTTTTTGCAATTTGGCTTTATGCAATGATGTTTTCACGTGTTGAACCACTTTGAACTTTTTTTCGCAAACCACTGTTTTGGCACAAGCTTTACAAAAAACTTTATCCCTATTGATTTCCAACTCTGGAAAGTTAATAATCCACGAAGAAATTCTCGACATTTTAGGACACTTTTAAAACAACAAATTATTACAAGACTTTTCACTAGGCAAATAACGAGGATACTATCTCATTAAACTGAATGAAAAACATTCAAAATATTCCGATGTTAGGGTAGATTGGTTACATGAAATTACTGAGAATTTTATATAAACCGTTTTATTGCATTGTAGGTAATACTTTATCTGTGTAAATACCATCTATTAACAATTACCTTAATGGGCTTAATCTCTTAAGAAGGTAAAATACCAGTGCATGCCACCCTCCAAGAACTATTTAACAAGAATTTACAAGAAGTGACACTTAAAAACAAATACAAAAATTTAAAAGGTCTTTATTTCAAATATATCTGTATAATCTGTTAAAACAGTTTTTGATTTGCACAGTATAGTAATACATTTTTTTTTCGAAAATATGCAATATTTTCTTAAATTTTCTGAACTTTGGTAAAATATGCAATATTTTCTGAATTTTGGAAAAATATGCAATATTTTCTGAACTTTGGTAAAATATGCAAAAAATGCATATATATGCATTTTGCATATATTCCGCTCTCTAGTCATAAGTAATGGGTTAAATTGTAACTGTAGATTCGAAAGGCAAAATAAAAGTATTTTACTCAACAACAATGGGTCTGAGATCGCTACTTTCTGATCTACAGGCTGTTAAATTTGGAAAAAAATATATTTTTGTTAATAAAGAAGCCATTTTTGAGATACAGGTTTGAAAATTGGGGTAGTTCCATTTTTTATAGGGGCAAACAAGATTATGTTATTAGATTTGAGTTATCTCGTAGATGTCGCCACATACGCCATATTAAAAAGAAGAAAACAGCTTAAAATTTTTTGTCCCTCATTAATTAACAATTTACGTATTAAATTTAGAAAGGCTTACCATTTTTGTATAAAAAAGTGTATTCGAATACCAGTGCTGACTTATTTTCGCTTTTGGGGTTCGGTTATGGTCTTAATAATTCGTTGTTTCAAAATTTTCAAATTATTTGAACGATAAAAATTAAAATACATTTTAACCATAAATATAAATTTAACAAAACTATATAATAGTGCCAGAAAACATGATTAAAATAATTTTATTTCTGAATATTTTTATTCCTTTTTTTTTCGCCTAGACTATTATTACACTATTATTACTTTTAATATCTTTAATGGCATCGGTGGTGACTGAAAGATTGAAAAGAGAACATTCATAAAGTGAGACACTGATTGATGAACTGTTTGCTTTAGAATATTAATGTTATTTGAATTTGCGCAACGATAAATTATACGATATCTGCGTTTCCTGGAAAACCTGTTATATAGCAAAAATGGAAATAACGTGCCATAATTCCCAAACAGCAGAATAAACTTAATTTGAATTTTGCTGGTCAGGTATTGGACAATTTACTTTATGATTCGGTTTTATTTCAAAAATACTTCCACATAAGAATAGGTGTCTGGTACCTGTTAGAAATTTGGTTAAATGTGATAAAAGTTCTGTATTTCTTTTCTTTTTCCTGCGATTTTCAGGTAATTAAATTCCGGTTTCTAGTATTTTCATTACTATCTTTTCCGGGTCCATTATTGTAATATGCTCAAACAAATTCACTTGATTCTTTTACAGTTTTGATTTAATTTATTTTGTGTTTTGTTATATTGTGTGTGTCATATTTGTTTATGTTTTACATGGTAGGTAATGTCTGTTTTTTAACTATCCTCCTGAGGAACCTAACTTTAGTAATCCCAAAGAGTACAAAATATAACTATAAAAGAGGAGTCACTTGCCCAATTAACGCCTTCTAACGCGATCAGCCACCAGTCCTCCACAGTCCTTTCTTGATCGGCGGTATACCGGTGTAGTTCAACGCGTAAGGCTCGTTTGCTCCACTACGTCAGATTCCGCTGTGTATTAACCCCGGTATAGTCGAATTAGCTCTGTACTCTTTGAAAAAACGCCGACTTGTCGGCCCGCATTTGAAGCGCGATTTCCTTTGTAAATGCCGCTAGTGACTTCTCTTTTATAGTTATATTTTGTACTCTTTGGTAATCCTCTTTCTTAAGTAGTACGACGGAACTGATTTATTAGAAAGTATTAAATTTAAGTTAAAAAATTTAAAATTAAAACAATAATGTATAATTTACGATTTTTGACATTTAATTCGATTTCATCATTTATAAAACTTATTTAATTACAGTTGAAATAATTCATTTTGGAAAGCGCTTGAATAAAATTTGAAAGGTCAACGGTTAATTAAATATCTGTTGTCTGCCATTCGATAATTGGTTTAATCTGTTTTAATAATTTGAAATAATAAATATATGATTCTTTAATTCTAAAAGGTATATTTTCGAAAGTATGATCTGATTACTGGTAAATACAGGGTATTAAATATTTTAACCACAGTTTCAGGACCTCAAATTATTATTATTATTTTGCTAAATAATACTGTGTTAAATCAAATTTTACCTACTTCTGAGAAAAGTCAATTTTTTTTCAATATTTTCGTTATTTAACGTATTCGTTTGAAATTTTATATGGTTATATTTTTTGGCTAATAAATTATAGCCATGTTATCAATTTTGAGGTAAGAGAAAAATTTTTTTATTCTTGATCTGTAAGTACAAATTTGAATAAAAAAGATATTTATACTTGTTTCAATAGCGTAAAGTCAGCACAGTTCGAAAAACTTGCCTTTAAAATATTCTAGCCATAGTATCTATTTAATTTATTTTACAATATTTCAAAAACAATGGCTTAAAAACAAATATAAAAATGTCAATGCCACAACACAACCATATCTCTAATTCAGTAGGATGTAGGTGGCGCCAAAC